GACACCGAAGAGGGCGAGTTCATGGCTTGCAGCCCGGTCGCCTTGGATGAGAGCGACCCGGACTGGTGCAAAACGGCCTCGGGGCACATTAAGCGGCCCATGAACGCGTTTATGGTGTGGTCGAAAATCGAGAGGAGAAAAATCATGGAGCAGTCGCCGGACATGCACAACGCGGAGATCTCCAAGCGCCTGGGCAAGCGGTGGAAAATGCTGAAGGACAGCGAGAAGATCCCGTTCATCCGGGAGGCGGAGCGGCTGCGGCTCAAGCACATGGCCGATTACCCCGACTACAAATACAGGCCCAGGAAAAAGCCCAAAATGGACCCGTCCGCCAAGCCCAGCGCCGGCCAGAGCCCGGAGAAAAACGCGCCCCCCAGCAGCGGCGGCGGCAGCAAAAGCGCCAAGAGCTCCGGTAAGAAATGCAGCAAGCTCAAGCCCCCGCCGGCCTCGGCCTCGGCCTCGCCCCCGCCCCCCAAGGCCGGCGCCAAAGCCGCCCCCCACGGCGACTACGCGGGGGAAGACTACGTCTTCGGCGGCCTCAAGGTGAGCGGCAAGGCGGTCAAGTGCGTCTTCCTGGACGAGGACGATGAGGACGACGAGGACGACGACGAGCTGCAGCTGCGGATCAAGCAGGAGGCGGACGAGGACGACGAGGAGGACGAGGAGCAGCAGCAGCAGCAGCTGCGGCGGTACAACGTGGCCAAAGTGCCGGCCAGCCCCACCTTGAGCTCCTCGGCCGAGTCCCCCGAGGGGGCGAGCCTGTACGAGGAGGTGCGGGGCGGCGGCGCCGCGCACGGCAGCGGCAGCGGCAGCGGCAGCAACAGACTGTACTACAGCTTCAAGAACATCACCAAGCAGAGCCCCCCGCCGCAGCCGCCGCAGCCGCCCAGCCTGTCGCCGGCCTCCTCCCGCTCCATCTCCACCTCGTCCTCCGGCAGCGAGGAGGCGGACGACCTCCTCTTCGACCTCAGCTTGAATTTCTCCCAGCACCCGCACGCCGGCGCGGAGCTGGGGGCGGGCTCCGCCGCGGGCAACCTCTCCCTGTCCCTGGTGGACAAGGATTTGGATTCGTTCAGCGAGGGCAGCCTGGGCTCGCACTTCGAGTTCCCCGATTACTGCACCCCGGAGCTGAGCGAGATGATCGCGGGGGACTGGCTGGAGGCGAACTTTTCCGACCTGGTCTTCACCTATTGAGCGGCGGGGAAGGCTGGGAGCCACCGGGCAGAGGCAGGAGAGATGAGGCTGGTGCTGATGCGATGAAATGGGGAGGCGGGGGGGATGAAATCCTGAAAAGCAAAACAAAAAAAGGCTCGTTTTTTCTTTCAAAAAAAAAAAAAGAAGAAGAAGAAAAGAAAAGAGTGTCTCGAAGTTCGTTCCAAACCGAGCCCGGAGTTGTGATTTTTTTTTTTTATTTTAATTTTTTATTTTATTTTATTTTATTTTTTTCTCTTGCATTTGGTGATCACAACAACAACAAAGGCAAATGGGACTGGGGGAAAATGCTACAGAAGGCGCTGTTTGAAGCTGGTCGGTCTGTGATTGAAGTCTGGAAGATGGTCTGCGAAGAAGTCTTGTGGCAGCACAACTGTTACTCAAGGGGGTTTGTGGATTTTTTTTTTTCCTTTTTCCGAGAGACAGAGAGAGCTTCAAGAACTGTTCCGGTGTTCTGCTTTTTTTTTTTTTTTTTTAATTATTGTTATTATCTGAAAGGGACCATTGCAACTTTTTTTGGAGGGAGAAAACTGATGTCTTCTATGCATCCGATTCTTAACAAAGCTGCAGGGAGCTTGAAAAAATGCAGACTGTACAAACGCTTACAAAAAACAAAAAAACAAAAAACAAAAACACTGAACTGACTTAAGATCAGAGTTTACTTTTCAGATCAAATTGTTTATGGTTTTACAAATGTGATTTCTACTTGCCAACTTTTTTTTTGTAACTTGTTCCCTTATACCTCCTTGATTGAATACCAGACAGCCTAGACCTCAGTACAAAAAGGTATTGAAACATTTTTGATACATAACAGACCTCAGTCTTTTTTAAAAATTAATATATTTTCAGGCGTATTTTTGTACAGTGAAAAGGGAACATTCTTGCTGTGTTTTTTCAGTAAGACTTTTCAGGCACTTCTTCCCTTTTATTTTTTCTTTTTATTTTTTTTCCTCTGTTTTTAGCATGCAAGTTTGTTGGTACGTTACGTCCTGGTTTTAAAAGGATTAAAATTAAAAGAAAAATAATCCTTGCATCTAAAGGCCTTGTGGTTTTAAAAAGAAATAAGAAACAAAACACTTTTTTTTTTCCTTTTTGTACAGCGATAGTTCAGATTTGTTCAATATTTGTAGGTAAAGATTTATTGAAAATGGTGATATAGACCTCAGAGCTGTTATCTTAGTTTAAAAGATTGTATATGTACTGTACTATAGTAGGACTTTATGTATCTCATACGCTGTGATATGTGGATGGGGCCCCAGATGGAAGGTATGAAAATGGATTCTCGATTTTAGCAAAAAAAAAAAAAAGGAAAAAAAAAGAAAAAAATAAGGCACATAGTTAAAAAAAATAAAAAGAAGAAAGTTTCTCATTTTGTGCAATATAAATCTAAAGTACAGACCATCTGCCTCTTTTGTAGCCAAGGATGGCGAGAGCAGACTTGTGCACTGTCAACATCAGAGCCTGTTTTTTTTTTTTTTTTTTTTTTTATGCTGAAAGTCTGTATCTTTGACAATTTTAATAAATCAGCTGGAACTGATAGAAACTCGTATCGCTGTTCCCAGTGTGTCTAGCAGAAAGGCGGTGCAGGAGCCGGCGCTGCAGGCTGCTGTGCGGGGGGCGCAGAGGCGGC